CAAGTCATGGGTGAGACTGAAATACTTCTAAGTTTTATGATATATATATATATATATATAAAATCTATTTTTTTATAATACTAACTCTAAACATTTGCGCACAGAAATAAATATTTACTCGATAAAAAAGTAGTGAAATCAAATTAATGAGTTTTGTACTAAATAAGTATATGTTTACATTTAATTAATATTATGTAAACAAATATATATTATAAATTTAGTACAGTTTTTTCAATGTAGGTGTTATTATTAAATAAGAGTTTCTAAATCTGTATATTTGCATGATTGTACTTTGGCTTTAAATAGTTTCGAATTGTTAATAAATTTAACTTGTCTTATGTTATATTAAGTTTCGACACTTTTATTGCAATTTATCGTGATGATTACGAAATATGAACTGATAAATGACGGTTAAATGAATACCGCGTTATACCTTTTTCAATCTATTTAAACACTTCTCCCAAATGATATAAAAATATACTATTGCACTCAGCAGAATGGTTTCGCCTTCTAACTCATAATGAAAACATCGCGCAATCCGTTTTGGGAATATATCATACACTTAGCAGTTGCTCATGTAATATTCGTGGAAAATCGATGCGATTCATCTTTCCATTTACCATCCAGATAGTTAAATGAACAGATGAAATCTGTCAATCATTCACAATCGTGAATCATTCACGAATTCGATACTATCTTAAAACGTAAATAAAAGACGCATAAAGTAATGCAATTAAATTCTTCGTGTTAAATTCCTTTTATTTATTCATTCCTTTTTAGCATCGTGACACTATTCTACTATCAAAATTGTGTGAGATGAAAGATTAAGGATGGTCTCTATTAGGTCTCTCTCTGCAAAAAGTGACTGGAATTAAAAATTTAAATCTTCCATATAAAAATGAATATTATAAACAATTTAACGTCAATATTTATATTTAACAACTTAATAATTTGAATGAAAATTGTCTCATTTTATCTTAATTATTTTTTAAAAACACACATCTACTTCTTAATGAAATAATTTCTTATCGATATTCTAAATTGAAATGCCGCCAAACTATATTACTTTCAAACACAATGTTCATATTTTCATATTAAAAATTTTCATATTAAAATCAAATTTAATTTTGTTAAAAAATACATGCAATACATCCTTAAACTCGTGATTTGCACGTTAATCGTTTCCCTTGAATCGTGTCTCTTGAATGATTGTTGAGGGGAAGAAAATGAAACGTTTTGCAGCAGACACGAGAGCGAGCTTATACGTACCTGTGCCGGGCATAGTCATGATCAGTTCCTGATGAAGCGTGAGGCCACCACCCGCGGACAGACCGGAGCCCAGATTCACACCCAGCACGCCGTGCTCCTTCTCGTACCGCTTCAGATCTTGTGCATCCTTCGCTCCTACGTGCCAGCGTGCGGCGACGAGATGGATAAGTAAGAAGGCAGAGAAAAAAAGAAGACACGCCGCTTCAGTTTTCTCCCGTCTTTTTTCTTTTTGCCGGGCTTCCTCGTGCTCCGCACATGCCTCTCGCTCGCCCGCCCCACGCGCCCGCTCTACGTAGTTTAAATTTGTATAGGAGCAGAAGCTGGCCGAGGGGTGTACGGATCACTTAGCGAGGAGGTGCGAGAATCGTCACCGTACTCCGGACTTCTAAGCGCGCAAACATACGTCTCAATACTCAATACATATTCGTTTGCAAGTAGATGTACGCATAAACGTACGTACATATGTACACCTCGTGTCCGTACATGCAAGCGTATGTGGCACGGCGTACGTCATGTGCATACGTGAACGCATTGCGCATCGTTGTATCGTGGAGGGTGTCCATCTCACAATCAGATCAGAACACCCACACTACTCTATGTGTCAGATCGCAGGTATCGCACGTCGTTGTGCATTGTCAAAGATGCTTACGTAATTTACGAGGTAAACTAGTTTAGTCAGGTACAATCACAACGTACGACGCGTCTTCTACGTCGACCAAGGAGGAAAAGACCACTCGTTAAAAATTTCCACCCACGGAGAACGACAAATGCGCAATGGAATAAATGTGATGGAATAAATGCAATGCTACGCGAAAAATATAGAAAACACTGTAACAGCTCGTACAAAACGGTTATTATTAGTTTTGACATTTATATTGACATTTATATACGTGATAAATTTTTCGTAAAATTAGACGTTTGATGCAAAGATTTTTTTTTATTGACTAAACGATCTTAAAGTCGTACTTTTTCTAAATTTCTGTGTAAATGTTAATATTTAAAAAAAAACTAATAAAAAATATTATTGTTTATTGTATGAAAAAGAAATTTCCTGGAAGATCTTTTCACTGTACATTTTATACAAATTCGTTATTTAATAATTTGATTTAAATATTCATACCTTCAATAATAGAATAGAATATATAAAATATTCTATCAGTTTCGTTTGTGTGCCCATAGATATAAAGTTATATAGAGATACCGAGAATCAATATTGAATTATCAAGCCATCGTGTAGTAAAACTTAACTGAATGAATATCTTTATATGAATGAATTTTATGACAAGTCATTTTATGATAGAACTTCTTATTCGCGTTATAGAACTTAATGATTTTATTTTATTATATACAATTTGATGGTTCCGGTGTTTATAAGACTTCTCATTTCATAAGAATTCAAATTCTTATACGGATTTATTTTTTATCTTCCTCGAGATTCTCCGTATACAACAATGATAAACTTTATTATCAGACACACAGAAATATCAGCGTAATCCCAACATGAATCACAAAGTATCATAGCACATCTTCAAAAAAAAAAAACAAATCTGCAACATTTACTTTGCGTAATTGCCCGTATTATTTCGAGATAATTTCCCTCTAGTTAAAGATTATTTAATTCCGCATTAATTGACCGGATTATCGAAGATAATAATCAAATTAAAATGCTAATCACCAAAGGATCGCGTGGGACGCAGCTAAGCATTCGTTCTACACGTGTATTTTTTCGCTCATGGAGTATCACGGTAATTCAGGATACGTGAAGCGGCTATAGAAAAAAAAACGAAATTTTTATAACGCTTGGCCGCGCGTTTATCGACATTTGAAAACTTCGTGATTGACAGCCACCCGCTTGAAACGTCTGAATAATAAAGTCATAAATCACATTACTATTCGGAAATGTCGTGACAGACGTATTTATTCGCGTGTCACGCTTGCGAGCTATGCCCGCGTTGTCTCAATGGATTGGCCAATGCACCAAATACAATTAACGTATATCATAAAAAATTTTAACGGACACACTTTAAGTGTGGCGAAATGCGCGCAACGTTCCCAAATCTCATTTTTTGATAAATTGAAGGGTGATAATTGAAGACGTATCGACGTAGTCTGCGAATCGGCCAACCGTTAGTAAGTATATGTTTGATCTTATTTGACGGAAGACAGATATAAAATGCAATTTATGAGAAACAAGTCCAACGTCGGTGTGACGTCCCTCACGTTCCTGTAAACTCAGATATAATTACTCCGGACGATTACGATTTGCACGAAATCGAGATCCTATTTGAATAAAAATGAATAATTTCAAAAGAAATCCTTTCGCCATTCGTATGCGTTGCCGTAATTATTCAGTTCATTCGATAATCGCAGTATAACGTTAAGTTAAAATTGAACGAGAAACAAGTGTTTAAATCGCATGGTGACAGAATAAATATGATGGAAAAAAATCAACGCTTAACGTGAAAAAAATAGAGCTATAACTTTCTTTTAATCCAGTTAACGTGTAGCGCTTTACTCAGTTCTCACCACCTGCAACATTCTAACTCTCTAAACCGTTCCTCAACTTCTCGCGTAATGTAATCAGTGTTGAGGTAATTAAGATCATCAAACTCGAGAAGCGGCTTTCTTGAGATGGAGATCGAAGACGTGCAACGTCACGTGTTACCGGCACATTTCACTATTCTTTTGTGCAATTTTCTATCCTGAATTTCTTTACCTGACAATTGTTTCATTTATATAATTCTAAAAAATAAACCTGTTGCAAACAAATTTTCCTAACTTAAAAATTTTCTTAACTTAAAAAATGTCATAAATTAATCTAACTCGCTATAATCAAAGAAAACATTATAGAAACCATATATATATGTAAAATAATTAATAAGATTATTTTATTCTCATACATATACAAGATAAAACTCAAATAATTTTATTAATTATACAATAATAAGTAATAAATAATTTATTATTTATAAAAAATTGCGAATTATACTTTTATCATGATTTTATGCAAATGCCACACAAAAAGATAATAAAAATACATTTTATATAAAAATAAATTTAAAAAGTATTAGTTTTTGCACGTCGCAAATAATAAATGCAAATGAAAAACTAATATACGAAATGTGATTCTATGAATATCTACAGATAAATAATTCGTAGTAATAAATTATACTTTTATACAGAAATAAAGAAAGAAGGGTCAATAAGGTCACTTTTGTGCCCTCTACGAATTTCCGTTAAATAATTTTTTTTGTATTTTTTTGTATACTCATTAGGAATGTGAAAAGTAATCATTACATGGAGAAAAAACCCGATCCATAAAGTCCTAATTAATTATTAGATTAGACATATCGCTACTTAAATCCTTTTTCATGATTAATAAGCAAATTAATAAAATATTTTTGTTCATTATACTACTCTACCAACGTATTAACGTCATTTTAAACTATCTATCGTCCCCAAAGTGAAAAAAATGAATTTTTTTATTACTTTTAACGAATCGATACCCATTAAATGTTGAGGCCCACAGGATCACTCATAGTGATCACTGTTTGTTGCCTATAGGCTTAAGCCTCTACACCGCGTCAAAGTTGTAATCATAGAGAGATTTTTTATTTTTATTAATTTTTGTGTTTTTTGATTTTTGTTTTTTTTTAATTTTTTTTTAAATTGAAAATTCCATTATTGTAGTATATGGATATCATTTGATAAGTACATATGTCAAGAATAATAAAAAAATTCATTTCTTCATTATAAGCTGTATTCATCTTCACCTTAGGTACGATAGATAATCTAAAATGACGTTAACATGATGGCAGAACAGTATAATGAACGAAAATATCTCATTAATTCACTTATTAGTCATAAAAAGGGCTTAAATAGGTATGAGAATGATATATCTAAATTAATAGTTAATTAAAGTTTTATGGCTCGAGTTTTTTCTCATATAATAATTATTTCTAACATTCCTACTGATCATATAATACAAAAAAAATTGTTTAATGTAAAATCGTAGCAGGCACAAAAATGGCTTTATTGACCATCCTTCTATAAAAAGCATTAATTTTTGCAAGTCGCAATATTGCAGTATAAATAAAAAACTAATATAAAAAGTATGATATAAAATATGATATAAATATGATATAAAAAGATTCTGTGAATATCTATCAATATGATAAATATTTCGTAATAAATTATACGATATTAATTGCAATCCACAGTTGTGGTAGGATTATTCACAGTGGATTAGCCGGGCGAAACAGTCCCTACACGAACCGACGGGTGATGAAAATCAAATTGATTAAGAGGAATTCAGATTCATTTGAAATTTATCTTTTTTGTAAGCATAGAATTAAACATACTGACATGATTAGAAATGAATTTTAGAAATATAATTTCATAAAATAAATGAGTAAGAATAAAAATTCGCATTAAATGATGCAAAATATAAAATATTAACAATTGTCAAATGTATTAACAATTGTATTAATAACACTTATTTAGCGATATATTATGATCCATTTTATTAATTGTTTGCCTACTTTTCAATTCGCTATCAATAATTTACATTTAACCGCTACTTTCTATATATTTTAGTCGATGCAATTAACATACTGAAAGATGATATATGGATATTTCTATTATAAATTTCACCGTAAACGGCAAGTAATTAACTTTAACGGAGTTATGTGACCTATAATAATGCGCATGTGAACGATTTAGGATTTAAAATTACAGTGGAAGGATTTACAATTATATATAAAACTAAATTTATAATCGATCTATTTAATGAAGATCGTTTAGCGTTCGATATTTCTTTCCGTTAGATTCTATTTCATTTTGAATATCTTTTATTATAATAGCACGCTTACAATTAGACCGGGAACACTCGTAGTACTCGTAATAATGTCTGATTAATTAACAACGTCACTTTCAATTGTGATTGTTAATTGTAGCAAACCGACATAATAATCCCACGTTACGTGAACAAAAAGCTGACACGTTAAGCTTGAAATAAACTAGCTTGCGCACTTATAAAAGCTGTGAAGAAACACGCTTCTTATGGGACACCTGATGCTACAACGATCCTCGACGCCGCGTTTGAATTCTAAGACTGAAGTATCAAAATTTAACACCATTATATCATTATTGTGCCATCACTGGTCTTCTTTCATTTCATTCTACATTCTCAAAGGTATAAAAGCAAAATTATAAGTGAAAGCGATGTTTAGTGTTGCTTTTTAATATTTCATAACCTCAACACAGAAATGAAATGCACTAATAATTCACTGAGAAAAACGTTTTTTTAATTATGTAGTATATATAAAAGTACAAATAAAATGTATTTTGTTATACTAATCAGAATTTTGATTGTGATTAAATTTCTGGTTGTCTCGATTAGAACATATGATAAATTTAATTATAAGTGTCTGATTTGTACTTTTCTGGTTGAGTCTATCAGAGTTCCAACTTAATCAGAGTTTTCTTGTTATATTTGTCATGTAATGTTGGTCATAAATAAAATATTCAGCACAAATAAACACCAAATTCGCGATCAAGATAGAACTTAATGCTTAATATGTTTGTTTGAATTTTATAATTTCCAGTTTATTATTATTGTTGTTACTATTCACTTTCATTTCTTTCCAACTTGTATTATAATTAGAAAAATTTAATATTTTTGTCGGTACCGCTTTTAATGTTATAGATGAAATAGGCTGCCACTATTAAAATCGATGGATATTCTTGCGACTGGCACTTAATCCTGGAAGCCTGTATTAGATACGAACACATGTTTTTTCACACCGGTTAAAAATTTGTTTAATTCGATATACGGAACACACCGGATTGTAAATCGGAAGCGACGTGCCGTCGGCAAAACATCAATGGCTTCCGAAGAATGGCTGGTCGCAAGTTCAATGCTCGTGATTGAAATGCATTTGTTATACATGATGAAGTAATGATCTTTCAAACATTAGAATGATCCGTGATTACATAGTAACATAACAGATAACTAAAACGTGATTAATTCTTGTAATGCTAAAAATATGATTATAATAATCGATACGATGAACGTGACCGACACATAATGACTTTAATTTTAAGTCACAGTTAAAAATGGACTAATCACAATACAGTCCATAATTGCGTGTTAAATTCATGTAATCATAACCGGTCCAAAATATACACTCAATTATTTTGGAGAACATTTGAACTATTCTTCTCAGTAGAGTTTAAAGACTTTTGAAGAACTTGGATTTAAAACGCGAAGGAAACGCGGTAGAATCGTGAATCTCGGCCAGCTTGAGGATTTCTAAGGGAATTGGAGCTTATTCTTAACACACAAGGATTGTTTTAACTGACGTTCGACGGAGATCGGCGGTATTCGAGATCGCTAATTCAATCCCAGCACAGTTTCGTTGACGCACACTAATCAGATGGGATTTTCTGACTCAAGTGTATACGGTACTTACCGGAGATACCGTGTACGGAACCACCGGCGGTGATATTGTTGAGCATGCCGCTCAACCCCGGGAGCGTAGCTCCGATACAGCACGCGGAAGCGGAAATCCGCGCAACACCGCGAGCACCTCACCCTCAACTCTCGAGGAAGCACGGACAAGAAAAAAAACTGCGACTGCGACTGACGGCGCGACGCACGGAGCCTTTCCTGGATGAGTATTTAGGTGTATAGAGACGAGCCTGAGGACCGGCCCGTGCCTCAGGAAGGCAAACAGCGAACTGGCCGACTGCCATATCCGAACTCCCCCACTCACGCCAGCTTGCCGGATATATCGACATCCCATTCGTTTCAAAGCGCCCAACGTCGATCTCTCGCTTCAACCACCGGCTCGCGAGAGTCCCTACTACCTCGCCTTCTCCGCTGGTGGGCGTGATATTAAATCGCTCCTATCCTTCAGATCCACACTAGAATCCAGGAAGGTAGCTAGCTGCAACAGCGCCTTTCTTCCAACTCTCGCATTTAACAATCAGAATTTTATTTATTCATTTATTTTCAGCAGCATATTAAAAATATTAATTTATCAAAATTAATTTATTTTAAATTAGCAATATCCATTATTTGTCCAAGAATATTAAAATGGCGATAATGAGATGGAATTTCGAGTAGTACTGAATTAATTCATCCCTTTAAGAGAGGGCTATTATGTTTAGGTATATATTTTCTTGTCTTCTGATAGTTTGAAAGTTTCCTCCTAGGAAATTCATTTAACAATGTTAAGAGTTACCACGATTATAGCAGTGCAAAAGTTGAGTAGTAACCGAGCATTCACCAATCGCTTCAACAGGACACGAGATCGCTTCGACGGAAGAGTAAAAAGAAAAAGATACGACAGTCGGTGGCGACGAACGCAAGGAGCGAACGAAGAGTCTCGGACCCAGAGGTATCCCGGTCGTTGGCGGTCGGATTTTCTGTCGCCCGCACCGCTCCGGGCCGCAATGGTTGGTAGCCATGCGAGGGTTGCCCATATCCCGAGGTAAACTCTATCCAGGTTACCGTCTCTTTCGCCGTCTCCGCTTTGTGGTAGGCGGTAACCGCCGCGAACGCAGCTCCAATGAGCGGGTAGCCCGCCCTCTGGATGCCCCACTAGTTTTCGCGCGGCGGAGATTTATTGAAATTTTATTTTTATGGCCGGCAAGAGCGCGCGCGAGCGGTCGGCGCGGCGCGGCGCGGCGCGGCGCGGACGTCGCGCCGAGTGAGAGGAGAGAGATGAGCGAGCGGACGACCGGCCCGAAGGAGACGAGAGAGAGCCCTCTTCTTCTCATTTCCTCCGCCTTTCTTCACCCCTTCCCGTACCCGTGCGTATCGCTCTATCTTCGTCTATCCCACTCATCTCACCTCTCGCTCCCGCATCGCGGTGTTTCACGTTCTCTCGCCAATGCTACATCTACGCTTTTCCACCCTCGCCTCGCTCGGGTGCGCGCGCGCGCACGCGTGCTCGCTCTCTCACCGGAATCTCGCCCGGCCGCGATCTCGCTTTCTCGCTGCGGCCCGCCTTATATACGTTCTACGTCCTTTTAATTCAATAGCTACCCCTTTTTATAACGCAGCAGCCCCCGTGCAGCGCAAACGGAAGTCACGATGGCTCCTAACGCTTCGTTTGACCCGCCAACGCGCGATCTCGCGCGATCCTACATGAACGGCATTCCATCCTATCTGCGACGATCACTGGGGATGCGTGTAACGCTGTAGTTTTGTAATTACACTGGATAATGTTCATGTTAATTTATTAAAATCTCAGATTCGCTCTGAGTAGCCACATTTGCTTTTCACTCCGTTCGCAGAAAACAGATGGAAATAGTTACATTTTGTATTACAACTGTATTTATAATGTATCTCCTTATAAAAACGACTTATTCGTTAGTTGCTCGTACCTAAAACGATCATTGTTCAGCACATTTATGTCTAGATTATACAATTTATTTTCAGAATATGAATTTCAACATAATTAATTATTTATTTTACAAACTACTTTTCTTTAATGTTACGTTTCAATACATTTTTGATATTTAAAAATGTATTCTCTAAATTTAATCAATTTTATTTGAGATTTTAAAATTCCGTAATTAATTAAATTCTCTTGTAACCTAACACGGATCAAAGCATCAATATTTTTTGTAGTTCTATTAAAGTGATATTTTTATTAAAGTAATAGATGAATATGAAGACTATTTTGCTTTTAGTGTATTAAATGGCTTATTAATATCACAAATTAATATACAGAATATTTCACTTCTATAAAATTAAACTTTAATGACAAATTCTTTCATGAATTTTGAATTTAAAGTTGCATTTACATCGATAATTTGTACGAACCATCGTATACATTAGTAATTTGTAAACAACAAATAGCTAATATATTCATATTAAATTGATATCATACCGTATAATACATTGTATTAATATATTATATTAATTGTTACTTTTCACAAATTGACAAATCTCGAATTAGATGTTTGTTTTCTAAAATTGTATTACTGTAACAAGCATAAATAATTAATGCTGAGACGTAGATAATAAAAATAACTTTTATAATAAATTACAAACATTATTTTTTATTAAAATTCTTATCAGGTTTAGATTCTCTTTAACATATATTAATATTCTTATAAAGATGCTTATCAGTATCAAAAAAATTATTAAAATGCCGTCAATTTAATAACTGGTATTACTACTTTGGTTCTGTTCATGAATGCGTTTCACGAGAAAAAAAGATTTCCACGCGCAGTTTGCAGAATCAAATAATATGTATATAAATTCACACAGAAATATTTAAGTACTAAGATACACTTCAACCGAATGTAGCATTCCTCGTATTTAAATAGAAAAATTATTTTATTTCTACTTCTATTATTCATTGTAAAAATAATTCCCACAATTTTTATTAAAAAACCAAAATAATCGATTTAAAATGCTATGTATTAGGTGTACAACTTTGCTTCCGCCGTTTTTTTCCGAAATTCGAGGCTTTATTGTAAAAACTGGTTATACATTTATGATTCAAAGTATTGTCCATCGCTGACCATTACTTTCTCCCATCTTTCGGGTAGCGTATCCCGCGTCGAAAAAACTGGTCATCTTTTGAGGCTATCCACGAATCGATCCAATTTTTTACTTCTTCATAAGACCGGAAGTGCTGGCCAGACCGTGTGCCATTGATCGAAACAAGTGATAGTCAGAGGGAGCAACGTGAGAATACGGCGGGTGGGGTAGGACTTCCCATTTCAACGTTTCCAAGTATGTCTTGACCACTTTCGCAACATGGGGTCGAGCATTGTCATGCTGCAAAATCACTTTATCGTGTCTCTCGTTGTATTGCGGCCGTTTGTCTTTCAATGCTCGGCTCAAACGCATCAATTGCGTTCGATACCGATCGCCTGTGATTGTTTCAGTCGGTTTTAACAGTTCATAATCACTACGCCGAGCTGGCCCCACCAAATACAGAGCATGATCTTGGACGTCAAAATCATCGTTCTTGAAGCGTTGAAACCACTCACGACACGTTCTTTCACTAATAGCGGCCTCACCATAAGTATTTGAGAGCATTCGATAACCTCAGCCGCAGATTTCTTCATATTGAAGCAAAAAATTAAAATCTCCCGCAAATGACGAGAATTTGGATCGTAAACTGACATTTTCAATCGAGAATAACTTTATGATGCAGACACAAATCGACTAATGTTTCTATGGGGTTATGTTGACAGATGCCCAAGTTTATTATATGACGTCTATGATCTATTTATTTCGACCACCACTTACCGCTAAAGCCATCTATAACAAAACGGAGGAAGCAAAGTTGTACACCTAATATAAACCATATAACTTAAGCATTTAACTGTCTCTCTTTTTATGATATTACGTAATATAAATATTTGTACATTATTTTTAATGTTTATACGTATGTTTATATTACATATACACATATGTGTGTATATAT